TCCAATCATGTAACAATTCTCATAATTGAAAAATTTCCTCAAGTATAATATACATATCAATTTAATCAAAAGTATAATTTTCAAATTCAAATTTTCAAGAATATCATAATTTCTAAATTCAGGAATATCATAATTATAATTTCAAATATTCAAGAGTACAATTCTAAATCAATTATCCAAGAGTACAATTTACAAATAAATTATCATAATTTCCAGATCAAATAATAAATATAAATACTTGTATAATTAAAATATAATTAACCTAAAATTAAACCCAACGATGTTCTCAATAATATTCATATAATTAATCTAAATTTAATATAAAACGAACGTAAGAGCACCTAGAGATTAGGATTACATATACCAAACTTCATATCAATATAACCTATGACTCTCTAGGGATTAAGATTGCTATTAATAAACTTCAAACAAAATTATAACCTAAGGATTAGGATTACACATATCGAACATATAACTATATAAAGATTAGGACACTCCCAATAAAATTTCATACACAACAAATCTACAACCACCTAGACAGTAGGATTACCTGGTCTCCGTTTTCGCTAACTTCTAGAAGAAAAGAGTAATTTGGGGCAGAGAACCGGTTGGTAATCAGAAGAATATAAAATAAATTAAACTAAGTTTTTGAACTAAGAAGAGAGAATAGTAGAAGAGAAATGTTGAAGAGTGAATTGGTTTGGTTAGGCTAGACCTCTATTTATAGTTGAAGTTTAGGGCTTACACATTACTGACTCAATGCTGACTCATCATATCTAAACAATTTATGTTTGTTGACTCATCATATCTAAACAAATTACTAATCAATCATAACTAATCAAACATAAATACATAAATCATCAATCAATTAATAAATCAATTAATCATAATTTATCATCTAATATATATATATATATATATAATTATATATTATCACATAAATCAAATAATATTACTATTATTATCTTACCTCTAATTATTTTAACTATTATTAACTCATTAATTAAAAATACCAATATTATTAATTACAAAAATACTAAATATCATTATTATCCAAAAATATTTATTATTATTATATTATTATTATTATTTTATTAAAAGAAAATATGGAATATTACATTCTACCCTCCTTAAAAGAAGTTTCGTCCTCGAAACTTAGAAGTTTGAGCTCCTCAAATTAACTAAAAGGCATAAGGTTAAAGTTAATAAAAATATGGGGTATTACAGTACCGTGGGTTCCTAATTGCATAAAGTTTATTATTATTACTTTTTTCTACATGTACATATTTGAACCAAAGGGTGATAGAAACATGTTGAACCATTGATATTTAAATTAAATTATTCTAGATGCTCTTCGTGGTTTAAAAAATAAATTTAATTTGAATATATTTTCTGTATAATTTTTTTAACATTATTATTTAATTATGTATTGTCACATTATTTAATTAGTTTAATATCTCCTATGAAAAAAGTATTTATACTTTTAAAGAACATTGAATTTTGTTATTTTAAGTAAAATAGTAGTATTTTAATAAATATTTAAATTAAAAAAAAGATCTCTCAATAACTTTCCACTCGCTTCCATCATGATTTTCCATTGTGTAATTATTTTTCACCTTAAAACACAATAATTTTAATTAAAATGACACAATTATATGTTATTTTAAAAGGATAAATATTTTTTGCATCTCATAAATAGTCAGAATTAAAAAAAAAACAATGTAATATCAAATCATTGAATAACAGTATAAATTTGTATAGTTACACAACATTAAAGTTAAACTCTTAAAAATTACATAAAATTTTAGGAAAAATCATTGGTTGTATTAAGCAGCCATGTAGAAAGGCAACCCAATATAACAGAAGCATCTCTATTCCATGTAAAATCCTTTGTGTCATTTTTGAAAAATTGAATAGAACTGATTTAAACGGTTCGGTTCGAAAATAATTTGGTTCAGTTCAAAATCAGTTTGGTTGAAAATAATTTGGTTCAATTTGAAATGATTTGGTTCGGAACCAGCTTGAATCGACCCTACTCTGAAAAGAAAAAGAATTAAAAACTAAAGAAATAAAGTAATAAAAATCAGTTCGATTTTGTTCGAAAATGATTCAATTTTTAAACTGGTTTTAAAAACTATTTCGCTTTATGAACCAATTTTTAAAAATCAGTTATTTTAAGGACAGTTCAGTTTTTTAATTATTTTGCACATCTTTACATGATAATCGTCTTTGTTTCTCACTTCCAAAACATTTATTCTTTTATCCAAATCAGAAATTGTTGAATTTAAAGAGTAAAACTACTTTAAAATTTGCAGCACAATTATTTGAAATTGTGTCATAAGTGTAATTGATTTTGTCCTTTTTTTGTTGTTCTTAAACTCAGTCATTGAACTGGGAAAGCGTTTGGTACGCGACTTATCTGAGAAATCTCAGGGAAGCTGAGAAGGAGAAAAAATTAAGCAACATTTGGTATGTGAAATTTGCAAAATTTTCTGAGCCACGTGTTTTTCTGAGAAAATGCTTTCATGTGTTAACTCAAATACAGATGCAAAAATCAGATAGCGCAAAATTTTGTGGAATTGTTTGCAGCCCGAAGAAAACAAAAGTAAAGCGTGAAAAAGTTGACAAGAATGACCCCATGTTTGTACGGTCTATAGATATGATCTAAGCAAAAGGTAAAAGATGAGATTATTTTGATAAAATAACTTCATATTCCTACTAATATTTCATAACTAACTAAACACAAACTCAGTAAAATTAATTTCATTTTTTTCGAGAAAATATGAATCTACTAAATAAATTTTTATTAATATTTTAATAAAATATATTTTTTGCTACATTTTGGTAATAATTATTTTCTAGATAATTTTTTTTTTTTTTTTTACCAAACACCGGCTAGATGAATTTTAGCCAGATTTACCAAACACCGTTACTCTTTGAATATAACCGCGCTTGAACTGAAGGGCAAAGATGGTAGTTGAAGAAAAGACGGAGTGAGAGACACTTAAAAAAAGTAATAGAAAAGTGGTCAAACTCAAAAGCATAAGGACGGTACGAGTGTGAGTGAACATAACGAGCATTAGTACATCAAATCAGCCAAAAGATTGCCAGGAAAATTCACTTCACTTCCTGTCTTGTCTCTGTTTCATTAGTCTTCTTCGCTCTTCAACCTCTCCCAACACACTCTCTGTCTCTTTCCCAAAGTTTTATATTTTGTAAAACTTCACGTTCTTCTAAGCTGAGCCTCTCATAATTTGTAACTGATTGGCTGAGTTGGCTCCATAGATTCTTGTACGAGCTTCTACTTGGGTACACTTGAAAAGAAAATATTATTATTGTAAAGAAAATGTTTTAAAAGTTACAATATATATAAGGGTTCCCTTTTTGTCATTTGACATGACAAGAGCACTTTCCTACACACACACAAATCAAGTGTGGGTCCCACGCTTAAAAAAAAAAATCAGACCAAAGTCAGGATACGACGCCGTATCCTTAAGATACGACGCCGTATCCTTGTTGCAGGAATGAACAGTGCCATTCCTGCAACATGATTCTTATATTTCCCTATATATAAACTAAGAATGAGAATTTTGTTTTGACATGGTCTCACGCATGTTTTTTTTAACATACGGGTTTTACATATTTTTTGTTTTTATGACATAAGATGACTAATCTTATAAAACATGAAAAAAATAAATCTCATAAATTAATGTGTTTAATGGCATAAATTCAAATCCTAATACAATTAGGAGATAAATAATTATATATAATTATAATATTAATTAGAAAAAATTTAGAGATAATTACAATAGTTATAACATTCTCCCTCCTAAATTTAGATTTTGCTCTTATCTCCTTAATTAAATATTATTTGGGTGTGGGTTTTTTCTTTCATCGTTAAAATAAAAAAAATTTATTCACTCAGGTCTCTTTCGATCAGTTTTGACCTTTTTATCACTGTTTGAGATATCTAGATTACTTGCTACAATTGTGTTGTTTTCTTTTTGTCTAACCGTTTTTTTTTTCCTACATTAAACACTCTGAAATTTTTTTGTCATTTTAAAGAATATAATTTTATGTCATTTTATATCTTAAATGTTGATTTTTATCAATTAATTATTATAATTTATTATGAATTATTAATTAATCAATAAGTTTGACTCAATAATTATGGGTTCTTTTTTCTACCGTCGATATAAATAAGTTATTTACATTTAGTCCAAAACAACGTAACTTCAGAACGAAAATCAAGATATTTTTGCAATTATAATTTATTTCAGGATTATAATAGTTTTTCTCATTATAATTTTTTAATCTTTTAACCCAAAATGACGTCGTTTAGGGAGTAAATATAGATAACTTATGTACATTCACTATTAAAATATCTAAGCCCTAAATCATAACTGTTAATTGACGAAAAATGAACGATTAAAACTGAAAATAACACAAAGTTATATATTTTAAAAGGACAACTATTTTAAAGAACAACTATTTTTCCCTTAAACAGTTTTCCTGTCAAGGGATTAAGCTCATTCTTCCTCTATTAATAATAATTTAATACATCATCTGTTTCAATGAAAAGTTAGCTTTAAGAGTCCTGGGAATATCTCCTATTTATCTACCCAAATTTTTTTATCCAAATCCAAAAAAAATAAAAAATAAAATAATTGCATATGATTATAATATTAATTAGATATAATTACAATATGAGAAAAGTGTGTGTCATTTTAAAGAATGTAAAATTGTGTCATTTTAAGTGAGAGAAAAAATAAAATAAAAGAGGAGAGAGAGTGGACACAAAAATATAAAAGTGCAGGTCCCACTCTTTTTGAAAGTGAAAAGATATAAGTTGTGTGATTTAAAAGGATAAATACGTTTCGCTTACGATATTTACACCAACTATTTTTCTTCTTCTTAAAGATCTTTCCTTTATTATTTATTATTACATTTTTATCATTAAAAGTTTTAAGCTTCAATAAGCATATAATATTGAAGTTGTGTAGAAAGTTTGCGTTTTTACTAGTGACAGGGTTCTGAATGTGGGAATGGAAGCAAGAATGAAGAAGTACCGGCAAGTGAGTCCTGAGAGGGCGAAAGTGTGGACGGAGAAGTCCCCAAAGTACCATCAGAACCGAAAGGTGCCGGTGATTTACTATCTTTGTCGGAACAGGCAACTTGAGCACCCTCATTTCATGGAGGTTCCACTTTCATCCCCTGATGGGTTATACTTGAGAGGTACAATAAGGAAAAAACTTCAAACCAACACTTTTTAATGTGTGTTTTTGTTTGTGGGGTGTTTTTTTTTGTTTTTTTTATGTATTGTTTGTGTGCAGATGTTATTGAAAGACTTAATGCTTTGAGAGGTAGAGGCATGGCTTCCTTGTATTCATGGTCTTGTAAAAGGTGAGGAAGTTATTTTATTTACTATCTCCTCTTGGTGTTTCAGTTTGTATGGTGAGAAACAAATATATATATATTTATATAGAGAGAGAGAGAATAAAAAAGATTAATACTGAGACTTGATTGGGTGTGTGAGTTTGTCCTTGCCCCTTTTTTCTCTTTTGATTTTAGGAAAGTCAATGTAGCTTAAAGTTTTTAAATTTTAGTTAGATGAAGCAATCAAGATTGTTAAGCTATGTGTTTTTTCACAATATGGACAAATTGTTTGTATTCAGTTTTCACCGTGTATGTTTGTTTATTGTGTAATTAATTCAGAAGCTACAAGAACGGATTTGTGTGGCATGATCTCTTTGAAGATGATCTAATTCTACCTGCACATGGAAATGAGTATGTCCTCAAAGGTTCGGAGTTATTTTACGAATCGAATTCAGGTAAAAAAAATAAAATCATGTGTTTGTTTTGTTCATCTTCATCATGTTGTGTTTTCTTAGTTCCTGACTGAAATCTTAATCATTGTGAATTTTGCTTTACAGATCGTTTCAGCCCCATTAGCAATGTCAAAATACATAGCCTGAAGCAGTTACCAGAGCCAGTTTCTTGTAGGAGCCATGATGAAGCTTCCACCTCTTCTAGCATGAATGGGAAAGAGACAAGAAACTCCCAAGAAGATGAACTTTCCCCAGAACAACATACTGGTTCCTCTGATGTTTCTCCAGATTCTAGGGATGGAAAGAGTGGTTCTCTAAGCTTACCATTGACACAGTGCAAAATCTACAAGACTGATGGATTGGCAGATGCTTCAACTCAGACAGAAGAAAATGTTAGCAGACCCAAAACCCAGAAAACTTGTACCAGGGGTGTATCAACAGAAGATAGGTCATTAGAACCTGAATGTCATGAAATATGTGAAATACAAGTGCCACAAGTGAAAGATAATCAAGAAATCTGTAGGGATACTATTTCTCCTCCTATCTCAACTTCTGCTCCATCATCTTCTGGAGGGAACACTGAAACTTTGGAATCCCTTATTAGAGCTGACGTGAGTAAAATGAACAGCTTTAGGACCCCGGAAGATTATGGCATTCGAATGCAAACCAATACAAGGATGAAGGCCTCAAATCTTCTGATGCAACTGATCTCTTGTGGGTCTATGTCAGTGAAAAACCATAGTGTTGGCCTTATTCCTTCCTACAAGGCTAGGTTTCCTTATTCAAAATTCCCATCCCCATTGTTCTCAACTTCTGTTATGTTGAGGGAAATTGATTGCATAGCAGAGAATCCAAAGGTGATGGGCCTCAGATTGGAAGACAAAGAATATTTTAGTGGGAGCATAGTTGAGTCTAAAATACTGATGGAAGAAGATGGACCTAATGTTCTGAAAAGCTCTTCTTCATTCAATGCTGAGAGGTAGGTTTTGCTTTTGAGTTTCAAGTCTTTTCTTGCAACATAACAATGTAGAATTAGGAAGAGTTACTACTTCCTTTCCCAAAAATTATGGTACTGGCAAATCAATTCGCGGCTGGATGTTGCGTTACATGTTGTTTGGTTGGTTGTACAAGGGCTGCACTTATCATAGCTTCAGAGAACATTTGTTCAAAGCTGAGGAAGTGAAATATGGGCTGCACTCAATTTTGGCATATAGTCATTCTTTAAATAAGGAATAATGCTAGATTAGGCTAAATAACCAGATAGGTTGTGCAATAGTACGAAGATGGAAAATGCTTGAATCTGGTATTAGAATGCTTATGCTGCTTTGATTTTCTATCATATTTGTCTAGATTGAGCCAATTTCCAAGTCTCTTATCAAATGAATGATTTCATTATTATATGCACAAAAACAATCCACTGAGTTGCTCGTTATTACCAATTCAAAACTCAGATGCAATGACTAAACTCTTCTGCTCTACTACCACATTCTGCTTATGCTTGCACTTCTTTTAAAATTTAAATAATATCACCTTTAACAATTTTTTGGATAAAAAAATTCATTGAAATCTTCTGTCCCTCTTATTACTCTCAGTTCTGAATAAAATTTTACCCTTGTATTTCTTTTGAAAGTTGCTTTTTAAAGCTAAACAATATTTAATGGAATGTAAGTGCTCTCACATGCTTGTTTAGATCTTTATTTATGATTGTATGGCAAGATGTCTCAAGGAAGTGAAAGCTTCAATGGCCCAAAAGAAGGGGGCTTCATTGCTTTTTGTAAAGTTATTATTCTAAGGAGAAAAAAAGATATCATTTGAACTTCCAATATTAGGCATCCTCCACCAGGGAAAAAAAGAAGAAGCAAAAGCAAAAGGCAGGACAAATGGGAATTTGGATTGTCTTGTGATTTTTTTTTGTGTCCTATCATGTGAAACACTTAAAGGTTCTGTGGAAGAATAAAGAAGATTAACATTTATCATCAGGTTTTATAGCTATCTTTTTTAAACAATGCTAGGAAAATAATCCGCACTATAAGGAGTTGCTATTGATACCTCATGAGAGTAATTAGTAACCATTAGGTCTCTTTTATAGTGTTGCTAAATAAATATTGCACTTTAAGGAATTCTTTCTCTCAATAGTGTGTCCAGCCTTTAAATTAAAAGTATGTGTCGTTGCATTATTACAAAATTGGTCCATAGTTAAAGACTTATCTTATGTCACATGTTGCTGAAAATGGCTTGGGATCAATAATTATTATGGCTACCTTTGTGGTTTCAAGTTTTAAAGTTTTTTGTAATTCATTTGATTGGCATCTGATACGAACACAGTAGTCATCACATCCTAAATGTAGAGTTGAAGTAACAAAATATGTACACAAATGTGCAGGACATGTAAAGAGTTGAAGTTTCAAGGCATAGAGGAATCATCATCCTCCGGAAATTCAAAATGCATTCCACTGTCACTTAAGGCTTCATTGACCAAGCAGCCAACCAGGGAATCCATGAGATCTCCTGTATCTGATGGATCAAGAAACTCCATGGATAGAATTGATGGCTCATGCATATCCCCAGTAACATCTAACGGTAGCAGCAAAAGAATCACTGAACCTTCATCAGGGAAAAAGCATTCTAAGAGGATAGACTCATTTAGAGAAGAGGAGAAGGTGTTCAAGATTGAAGAAAGTTAAGTGATGATTTTATCTTTGTTTCAACTGATGTTCTTAAAAAATGTTAAAAGGGTATGTCCTTTCACTTTTCTTTCATTGATTAACAAGTTTGATTTTAACTCAACAGGCTTGCTTCAGGAGCTCGGGTTATAATCCAATCTAAACAATTTTGCGACACAGAATCTAACAACTCTTAAAAAAAATTATGTTTCAGAGATTAGGCAACTAGCAAAACTGCTAGTTTTCAGCTTCTGTTTGAATGCAACAATGTAACATGATGGTATATATCTATGTGGTTTCACGTGACATTTCTGTAAATCTACAAATGTTATGACAGATTACTCACTTCAAAGGGGGGCTAATAGTGCAGGTGTGGTCCCAATGATCCATTACTCTTCCTGTAAATCTAATGTTCTGGTTATAGGGGACTGCTAACTGAAATGAAATGATTCCTCAAATTTTTTGTAACTACATATACTATACCCTTTTGCACCTGATGCTTTTTTTTTGTTTCAAATTAGTACCTGCTACTTTGTTTTCACCTCCAAGGCTAAAAGGTGCCCAAAAGAAAGTGGTGGGTTTTTAAACGTGAGATTGAACTTGACATTGGATGAACTTGTATTTAACCTTAAGTTAGATTCCCAGCCAGTAGTACATTTTTAAACGTTACAAATAAAAAAGCTATAGAGTATAAAAATAATATGATCTATGTATAAGCTTGTATCATTTTAAATTTCATCGACTCTTTTATCCCTACGGCCTTCCAAAGGGCAAGTCAAGTTTTAAAAAGTGGTTTGAAATATTGTTGGTTTTAAATTGATGGCAGTACCATTCAAACTTGGGATTTCTATGTGTTATGGATCTATATGAGAGGTCTATATTATATAAAGCCCAATAGTAGGCAATGAAAAGAAGAAATTAATATAATATAAAGAAAGAGAAAAAAGTTTCTGATGTTACTTTAGACAATTTTGTCTAATGTTCATCGAAACGACGTCGTTTTAAGATTGAAAAATTAAAAAATTAGAATGATAAAGACTATTATAATCCTGAAATAAATTAAAATTACAAAAATATCATGATTTCTGTCCCAAAACGACGTCGTTTCGATGAACATTAGATAAAGTTATCTAAAGTAACTTTAGAAAAAACAAACCCATAAAGAAAATATCAATCTCATATTCAAAGAAGATATTAAAGGTTCATAATTTCATTATCCATCGGTAAATTTTATAAATAAGAGGCAAAATTTACATGATGGACACTTTTTTTCTCTTCACTATTAGGGGGTGAAAGTGAGCTGGGCTGGGCTAAGCTTTGTCCCGAAAAGTCCAAGCCTACGTCAAAAAATTTTAATTTGGGCTGGCCCAAGCCTAGTAAGAGTTTAACTGTTAGTCTAGCTTGGCCCGTTTATAAAAAACAAATGGTCTAGCCTAGCCCGTTTATAAAAAACAAATGGTCTAGCCTAGCCCATTAGCCTGTTAATTTTTAACTTCCAAGGATAACCATGAATCAACTTTACAAAATACTCAAATTATGTTGCTAAACCAAAAATCATAATTTCAACGTCCAAACAGAATCATGAATCACAACAAAACTCATACAATCTGCATTTAAGTCACTTTAAAAAGAAAAATGCTTAGACTAAATAACATATATTTCATCAGATCCAACAAACAAATCCATACTATGTAAATTAAAATAACTACATTAATCCAACAAACATATCATAATGCTTGTAGTAAGTATAATCTCTCCCAAAAATATTTTAAATATTCATCTGCACAATCTAACATGCTAAGATGTTGATTCCTCCTACATAAGAAATAAAGTCAGCTTTTTATGAAAATATAATTAAGTTATAAATAATTGCAATTGATTAAATCTATATCTTTTGTTTTTTCTTTAAGACATACTTATTCTATTTTATTTTATTTAAAATAAATTGTATAATATAGGTCGGCCTGTAAGCTTATAGATCAGGCCTTGTGAAAGCGGGCATACGACCTTTTTATTAAACAAGTTTTTTCAAGGCCTAAACTTGGCCTATTTTACGAAATATACTAGGTTAGGTCTAGCCTGACGTAAGCCGAGTCGTAGGCTCCTATAGGCCGGTCCGGCCCAATTTCACCTCTATTCACTGTTATGCTATTACTGTGCATGCACACAACTCCTTTGACAAATACCATTATTTTCAATATATAGTGATATGCTAAACTTAAAGATATCTAACTCATAGATATCTAGAGAACATCTAGATTTAAGATCAACATAATCTCTTGATTAGACATCTCTCTTCGTAGGACATGTAACCAGGCGTAAAACCAAAAATAGTAGGAATCTTAATGCTACTGGGACAATTTTATTCCAAAAGTGTATAATATTCGAATGAGACAGCTTTATTCGAAGGTTTTGATGGAGAGAAAAAGGGACTCTCACCCAAACTTTCATATAGGCCCTGTCAGAATGCTTTTTGTCTGGCCATTGAGATCTTCAGGACCAAACTAATTGAATTAACAAATCTTGGGTTTAACTTTCACATTAAGGAATTATGCCTTGTAACAATCTTTTAGGTTTTTAAAATTTTTAAGAGTGATTTACGTTCTGTTACTTTTGAGTATTAAATAAGGCAAATGCTACCATACGTCCTTATCACATTTGTTTAAAAGAAAAAAGAAATTATGTTCTAAATATATTGAATATTATACTTTTTTAGTAAATATTTTAGTTTTTTTAATTCTTTCACAAATGTCAAACCCTTCTGATTAAGACTCTATTAATTATAATTGTGAGTACACAAATGTATAGTTACACTTTCTTACATATTTCGGGACAGGTCATTTATTAGTATAACTTTTTTAATGGAATAAATTGTGTTCATAATTCTCATAATTTGCGTAATTATGAATTCCTTATTAATAATCATTATTTTGGTTTTGGTTTTCCGGATGATTAATTTGAGGCTTTGTTTTTTACATGTTCAATGCTTCCACTCTTACGCCTATCACATAGACACATACTAAGAGCTGGGTTTATGGGGTTTGCCTTAGAGTTGGTTGTAGTCTGTATGGCTGTCGCTATTTATTTATGTTTTGACATTTTATGCATTTATTATCTCAATCTTTTTTAAAAATGACAAATATATAATCAGGTGATGAGTCAGAAGAATGACGTGAAAACATTAAATAAATTAGCTCAATCATACATGGTACTCTTTTAATGTGTAATTATTTCTAACTATGTCAAGCTAGCTACTTGCAATGTGGGGATGACACTTGGAAGCATGTTATTAAAAGACGGAAGAAAGATATTCAGACTATTTTTTTTTTAGACTAAGTTTAGATTGATGGTAAACGATGGAACCAAAGAAAATAAAATAACATTAGTTGTTATTGTTTATATTTTTTAAAATTAAATAAAATATAATAGAAATATATTACTTTTATTTAATCTCATACCCTCATTTTTTTTTCTTTATCTCCAATTTAGATATATGAGATGCTTTATTTTTTAATATAATTATTAAATTACACATCTCTCCAACTTGAATATGTTATGACTTTATTTTCAATTCTTCAACTCTGACTAAACAGAACTGTTATCATATTCGAAAAATCTCTTTCGATTAACATAACTGCTATGGACTATTCAAATAAAACAGCATTGTTAAGGACCTATATTTGGTTCTCTCTCCTTCATTTTCTTTTCTTTTTTAAATGTCTTTGTGTTGTCATCAATGACGCACACACCAACCCCAATGCCCTTAATTTGGATATACCATGCCTATATTTATTATAAAAGCTGTCACTGCCGGTCGTATTATTCTTTAAAATATACAAAACCTGATGTTTGCTTATTTTTTATTTTTCTTATCCTTTGTAAGTTGTTGTTGAAGAAATTGGATGAAATATAACATTACCGAGAGATTTGAATCTGTGTATGATATCAAATATATTAATTAACTATACAATCACATTACAATAAAGAAGTATTATAAAACTCACAAAATGTTGGAAAGAATGCTTGCATGCAGAAAAAATTCGAGTCCGACTATGTTTTCTTCTTAAGATAATTTGTTCCATTTATTGATGTCGAATGTTGATGAACAATTACCTCCTAGAATAGAACGAATTGTGCGTCTCTAGAATGATGGCACTATCAATCAGGAGCCCCCAGAAACACAACCAAATGCTTGAGAAAATCACACTTTCTAATACTATGGTATGGATGAATGATGCATGAATCCAGAGTGACGACATAAAAAAATTTCTGGATATATTTTGTATGGTGTGAACATGTATAAATAGACAACGATAGGTCATGATGAATCGTCGCCGGCGAATCGTTGCGACTAACGACGGTGAACCATTACGACCGGTTCGGTTCAAAATTAATCGAACGCACCATTTCAGTTCAAAAACAAAAACAAAAAAGAAGAACTGATTCGGTTCAAAATAGCAGGTACTGTTTGGACGAAAAAATAAAAAATATTATTTTTATCTCACACACGATCGACCGGCCGTGCCGAGATGGACGACAACAGTGGTTCTCCCTCCTCCATAAAAGTGAAGTGCCCCAAGGGAAAAACTAGAGAGGTGAGGTGGAGGCTTATAAACCCTTCCATTTCTCACTCTTTGTCCAATGTGGGACTTCTACCCACATACACATTTTTTTTGTGATATTCTAATCGGTTCATCGCTTCGCGACTAGTCCGATTGAGGCGGGTCCTGAGAATAAGACTTTGAACCCCTTCCAAAGACGACACTTGGGAAGATCGACCAGATACTCTCACCCTCACCCCCACATGAATAAAAAGTCAATTCATCGTGACAAAATGCAAATGAACATGAATGCAAAGTGTGATTCCTCGGTGAGAAACAATTGCATCGCGATAGGGAGGGGTCACCTTTGAACCTTCTCTAATGAAACCTATCGGGTGTACTCAGTCAATCGGTGGTCAGGATGACTTGAACCGTCGACCTTTTGTGTATACCAAGACAATAGGAGTCTCACAATTGCTTCCCTAACATTGTTGTGCCCATTTTTTCCTTGGACGCCTGCCTGGTTTTGTGAGGATTCTAGAGAATCGACCTTTATAATTTCTCATAGAAGTGTCTCTCACTTTACACTCACATAGGTGATTTCTTGTTATGTAACTCAATATACATCATATGAACACATCAGATTAAGAAATCATTAAAAGCGTAAATGCTTACCCTCACATATACACTGCTTTGCCATAGGAATGAGTATGAGTTTAGAAACTCCACAGTGTTAACATTTGATCATCACTTAGTTGTCTCTTTGAACCTAATTTGTGGGATCTCCACTCATCAAGGTAGAGTTACTGCAATAATCAACAAATGATAGGCCTTAAACCTACTCCTTTCGACAAAATTTCAACCAACTCTCTTGGAATCCCTTTGATCAACGGATCCGCTATATTCTC